GGAAGATAGCTTGTATGCGGTACATGATTATGGCGCGGTGCGTTTGGGGGAAGATGGTAGTTGTGGCCACGCATGTGTGTGCATACATGCAGGGAGGCAGGTTTCCAAGCATATTGAATTGACTCCATTTTCATTATGAACATTAGTTATACCAAGACGATTTTTGTTGTGAAATCACCAGTTCCCCCGTTGCAACGACATTGACATGGTGAATCCGCTGCAATGTTCGTGGGGCGGGGTGGAGCTATGGGTTGGGTGGCCTACTGGCAGTGAGGGGTTGGCAGCATTATGCAGAAACATATTTGCCGACTTTCTCAATTCGTTGCGCGCAGAACCAGACCTAAAAGAAATGTGAAAAAGAGTGCTAGTCTTTTTGGGTGAAATGTTTTGAAGGAAGCAAAGCAATGTATGATGGCAAAATAAACTCCGGAAGCAAATGTCCGCAATCTTTCGCTTTTCTTTTACATCTTTCCCCTCCCCACTGCTGCCAGCAGGCCCAAAATGTTTTCACCTGGTGCTGCCAGTCCCCTTAATTTTGCAGTGCTGGGGGGCAGTAGGTCATTTTAGACTTCATAATATAACAGCCCGTCGATGTAGGGATACATGCAAGGGTGGGTGTCTCTGTACGACGGACGCATAAGGGAAACGGAGGGGCAGCACGTGCGGGAAGCTTGCTGACCCCTGGTGCCCTCTCTCTCTCTCTCTCTCTCTCTCTCTCTCTCTCTCTCTCTCTCTCTCTCTCTCTCTCTCTCTCTCTCTCTCTCTCTCTCTCTCTCTCTCTGACACATGCACACAATAGGAGACAAGTGTCCACGCATGTATGTGCACTGAACGAACGCAATACACCTTGTCTTGAACTGCTAGATCTCTTTGTTAGGGGATGTCCAAGTTAAGAAATGAGGTTGTTTATGTTGCAGACAAAGTAGGGTATAAAGGAGAGACCACCGGAGCAGAGACCGAAGGCGAAAGTTTTTTTCGCTCGAGGGGTGGGAACTTAGGATGTAAGGATTCAACCAAGTGCACATTGAGGATAATGATACAAGTTTATGATTTTTCTAATGGCTTATTGTTTTTTCAATAACGGGTTCTGTCTTCTTTTTTTTTTTTTTTTTTTCTTTTTTTTTTTTTAAACTGTCCCTCCAGTGCTAGCAATGCTGATAAGGGCAGACACCGCTAGCACCTGGGGATAGGCTCCATCTATTGGTGGGGAGCGTCACCTCCTGGAAAACATGTCCAGCGTCCCTTGTGATTGTGATACGATTAGGATACTCAGAATATCTCAGAAAGTCCGCAAGCAGAATCTGCCAGCATTGATTGCCCTGGAGAACAGGGGATTGACTGAGCAGAGGGGGAGCCTCTTCACCCTAATTTTGGCGCCAGATTTCCACTGTCTGTGCTGACTCCCTCCACTGTCTTGGTTGCTAGCGATGCCACAGAGCTGGAAACCGGGTCCAGCCTCCCGTACCAAATCATTGTCGTCCTGCCTCTTCCTGCCGCACCGCCGGGGGCCGAGGGGAGAACCACCAGGGGGCACCAGCGGGTACTCCCGACGTACCCCAGCTCCTATACATCCTTGCAAAAATGAACAACATTGGGAGTGACACCATTATGCCGGCAGCCGGGTCCAGCGTCCCATATCCAATCTACTCCTCCTTCCCGACCCTGCAGATAAAAACTGGCTCCGGGACCGGGAAGGAAGGATCACTGGGGGGCACCAGTGTTTCCTTCCCTTCTCTTGCCAATCCTTCCATGAGGACCCATCCCTTTCTACCCCCGTTTTGACCACAATGTGGCCCGTACCTTTATTACCAAAAGGAAGCGAAAAAAATCAGAAAGGGATCAGGAAGGAGTCCGAAAGGAATCAGGAGGAATCCGAAAAGAAAAACAGCGACCGAAAACTTGGGAATATTGAACAGGGTTTACAGACAGACATCAAGGGACCAGGGGTGGGGAGGGAAGGGATCGGGGAACTCTTTAGCAGATCTCAAGGGGATTCTCGAATCAACCGTTAGCCAGTCCTTGAATCTCAAGTGGTAGTCCCTAGGGATCTCCGCACCTTGGCTGTCCTCTTTTCCTTTGTCTCCCCTCCAGTCCCCTGTCCAACAGACTTCTGCAATCCAGCCCTCCCTTTCCCCACCTAGCCATTCCTTAGAAAAACGTAGTAAGCGTTCTCGGATATCCTTGGATGAGTGGAAGTTGTCAAGTAGTTGCGTGGTTGAATTCCATTTATGCAAAAGCTCCAGTTGGAAATGCGTTTTGAATTGTTCCATCCTTTCTTCCCCCTCAACTCGTACTTGTTCCAATGCCAGAGCGCAGCGTTGCCACCATAGAACCCATGGGATCGTTCTTCTGGACAGGTGGAACATATTTGACACAAAGGTATTATCCTGGCAAGGTGGGTAGTATCCCAACAGGATAGCCCGCCAATCCCATGGCCATGGGTGTCCAGGAACCATTTGCTGCCATATTCTGTCCCACCACCTCCATGTCAGAGTGGCCATCGGGCATTGCAAGAATATATGTTCTATTGTTTCTGCTCTCTTTATGGACGGATATCCCAACAAACATCGAGAACACCAGGGGAGCGCTCGGCCTTGTTGTTCCAGGTGTGAGTGGTCAATCAGCCAGTCATTCGTGGGTAGGCACCGATGGAAAATCTGCCATTGTAAGGATGTAATCTTTGCCGGTCTGCATTTGGTGTCATTAAACCATCGTATCGGTGTGAGAAGCTGCCTTTCCACATTAAGGTGTTTCTGCCATCTGTCGATCACTGTGTCCTTAAGAGAGCGTTTAATTCGGAGCATTTTGTATGCCATCTTCACAGAGAGCCCTGACAGTGTTTTGGGTTCTGACTGGCGAAAACGCTGCCGTGGATCAGGAGTCCAAATCCATTCCCGCGGGTCTATTGGGAGGTTTTCTATGGGGATCTCTGGGAGGAAAACCCACCGACTATCTCCCTCCTCGATGACTCTGGTTCTGTGTAGTTCTTCCCTTGAGGTCCATTGGAGGGGGTCGTGGCTTCCTTCCAGTTTTCCGTTTCTTTTAATGTAATACCATTCTATCAGTCCCTCTTCCCCTCTGATTAGATGGACCAGACCTACTTTTTGGTCCCCTCCTTCATTGGACACCCAATCCCCCTCCTTTGGGACGGGGCCTTTGTGAAGTAAGGGCCACCACCCTATCGGGAGGGCCTCCTTTATTTCCTCCAATGTTGATTCCACATTGTGGCAGTATCTCAACGTTTCGCGCATCTCTTCAGAGCTCTTCCAATCCTTCCTCTCTTTGTCCCAGAGGTTGCCCACTCGGGTTACTCCATTTTTCACCCATCCTCTCCATGGAGCATCCGAGCTACAGAAGATCTGGCTTCGCTCATTAGTAATCCATCGGTTTCCAAAAAGAGTTTGCCTTGCCACCTCCTCCCACCTATCAGGATGCGGGCGGGTTGGGGGGGGGAGCTTTCTCCAAGTTTTGAGGAGGCGGGGCCAAAAATCATATTTCCGTCCCTTCCCTCCCCTGGGGCATTGTGGTATTTTCCAGTAGCAGTCATCCAGCCATAGTAGGGGGTGGACCGACTTGGGGGCCTCGGGGGCCAAACGGGTCAGTTGCGCTAGTGCCAGCGGCCTCCATAATAGGGAATCTTCAAATATCAAGCTTATCACCCATTTTATGTTTAAGGCATTGGATTGGGTGAGAGGATCGAGTATGCCGAGACCCCCTTTGTTCTTGGGTTGGATGATGGAGTCCCAAGCCACCCGACTGATAACATGGGGGTCTTCACTATCCCCTCTCCATAGATAGGCTGCCACCTTCCTTTTCAGTATCTTCAAAGCCCCTGGGTTGAGGGGCCTGTCTTTGTTATCTTTAAAGTTTGATTGTTGGATTTGTTCTATGTTACGCATTTTTGTCAGAGGTTGTCCGATTTGTTGTTGTTATGCATTTTTTTTTTTTTTTTTTTTTTTTTTTTTTTTTTTTNTTTTTTTTTTTTTTTTTTTTTTTTTTTTTTTTTTTTTTTTTTTTTTTTTTTTTTTTTTTTTTTTTTTTTTTTTTTTTTTTTTTTTGTTATGTGTGTATTGCATTCTTACTGCCCTTGTAAATCGTAACCCACCAGTACTTCCGAGTCACTTTCACATGGGACCCCAAGCACCCTGCGCGCAAAAAGAAGCGAACTGGTGCGGGCCTCGTTTTGGTGCGCACCGCCAGCTGTTTTGCTCCTGGCTGCCGACCCCATAAAATTGCGGCAGTATGCAGGGCACAGTGGAGAAAAAATGGTCAGGAAACGTACGAGTGGTTTTAGCATGCACCTGTATGCATGCAACATCCTTTTTCTTGATTGATGTGAACCTACAGTCTGTCGTGTTTTCTGTCTGGTGTGGTGGATGGTACCCTTGAGGCCACCGGTTAGTCGCCAGAGCTGCCCGGTGAACCGTAGGCAGAGAGGCAGAAGAGGACAACAATCGAGGGGATGTAACAAACTGTTTCGTCGGAGTTTCACTGACTCATCAATCAGGAGGTTGAACCCTCAACAGTCTGCAGAATCACCTAACTGATTACACTGTAAGCGATAATCCACCTTAACCCCGATTGTGATCAAGCATTAACGACTGCCCGACAATTGATACTTTGAGGTGGGCATCAACCACTGCCCTCAAGGTACCTGTGACGAAAATCAAATCAGACTAGCACTCGCCTACACCAGATGCAAAACTCTACAGACTGTCGGTTCACACCCCATCACAAACCAGCAAAACACCAACGAAACAAAGAAAGGTCTATCACAGCCAGAAAATACATTCCAGACACGCCGCTGACATTAGAGGCACAACATGGCTAGGTAGTGACGACCCGACCACAAACGCTCAACCTGATTGGAGACACCGTCTTAGGGTGCTATCGAAGTCGTGGTATATATCATCAAACAGAAGTGCCCGGTAAACCGTAGGCACAAAAGGAGAATGTATACATGCTACGTTACCAGCTGTGATGATTGGAGAGGAGAATGAGGAGTAGGGGGACGAGGATTGGCAGGACGAGGATGAAGAAGGAGAAGCGGGGGAGGAGGAGGTGACGACGATGAAGGAGGAGGCCATGGCGATGGAGGCCACGGCGATGGAGGAGGAGGAGGAGGAGGAGGAGGAGGAAGATGAGGACGACGAAGAAGAAGAGGAGGAGGAGGAGGAGGAGTGGGAGGGGGCCAAAGTGATTGGCCACCCGATCACCTCCCCCCGCCCTCCCTGTTCATCTTTCCTGTTTCAATCAATCAGTCAATTGAAGATCCCATCGAATCGATTGATTCGATAGGATCTTGATAGGTCAATCGATCAATCAATCAATCAATCAGTCAATCGAAGAGGAGAATGAGGAGGACGGAGAACTTGAAGAAGATTAGTAGGAAAGGGACGAGGTGAAGGAGGAGGAGGAGGAGGACGACGACGACGACTGGGATGGTGCTGAAGTGATTGGCTGCGGCGATGGAGGCGGCGATGATGATGGAGGAGGAGGAGGTGGAGGAGGAGGGGGAGGAGGWGGAGGAGGAGGAGGCCGTGGCGACGTTGTAGTAGGTGGAAAGAAGGAGAAAGACGAAGACAAAGAGGAGGAGGAGGAGGAGGAGGAGGAAGAAGAGGAGGAGGAGGAGGAGGAGTAGGAGGAGAAGGAAGACGAGGAGAAGGAGGAGGAGGAGAACGAAGAAGAAGAGTAGGAAAGGGACAAGGAGGAGGAGGAGGTGGAGGAGGAGTGTGCTGGCCGACGTCGGAGTCCGGCAACGACAACAGCAAACTCCGGCGACACCGAGCAGGCCAAGACGCACGGGGGAGGGTGCCAGGGGCCCCGATTTGGAATTTGAAAATGGCCCAATCTGGGCCGTCGATCTCACAGATCTGACATCCCAGATTGGGTTGTGTTTTTCTTTCCCGCTTTTGGGGGCCCTGCTGTCCTCCAATAAGTCTTCCCGCCGGTGCCCCCGCTTCGCCTGTCCCCGCAGTCCACCCCGGCGCCGCCCAAGTCCCTGTTCCAGCACCTGCCCTATTTTTTTTTCTGATTGGATGTAGGGGCCCTGGCGGACAGCCAACCGGTTGTCCGATCGGACAGTCCCGGACGGTCAGGGGGGTCCCGGATGTGTGATCTGGTAACGTAGTATATATGTGTATATATATATGACGATATATTTGTGACGATATATATATATATATTGACGATATATATATACATATATATTCATGTGTAGGGTTTGTACTGATATATGTTAATGCAACTACTGTGTTCATGTGTGCATATGCGAGAAAGTTATTTTCTTAGGTATAAATGTATAAAAAGAAGGAACAATTGTTTTTCGCCTGACCTTTCTCTCCTAGGCAAAAACACATGCACACACAAGCTATCAACCTCCTGATGAGGGGTTCAACCCCATGATGAGTCAGTGAAAGTCAGACAAAACAGTCTGGCACAGTCATGCTCTATTTGTGGAGTTGCGTGTAGCGAAGATGACAACACAAAAGCTATCATACGACATTGAAACGATTAGGGCCTGCAAGAAACATGCTCATATGTTGACTGAAAACAGAGCTAGTTTGCTTCTGTTTTTTTTGCTTTTTCTCTCTCTTTTGGATGCACACATATAATCACACATGTGACTGTGTTACTTCAAGTTGGATTTATGTTACATGGGTGCTTGTGGGTAGAGGATGGTGGTGGATATGTATGATTCCTTTTTTGCATGTGCCGGGTTGATTGATAAAGAGAGAGAAACATAGATAAAATAGACACACACATGTAGAGAGAGAGAGAGAGAGAGAGAGAGAGAGAGAGAGAGAGAGAGAGAGAGAGAGAGAGAGAGAGAGAGAGAGAGAGAGAGAGAGAGAGANAGAGAGAGAGAGAGAGAGAGAGAGAGAGAGAGAGAGAGAGAATGCAAGAAAATTGGTGAAAATGAGTCATGCACAAGCATACTGTACCATATAGTGCAAGTGATGAGATGGAGAATGGACGGAAAAGGACGAGGAGAAACAAGAGAGAAAGGAAAGAGTACAAAATACCAGAAAAACATATTATGTAGTGAACACTGCAAATTAGAGGCTGATCATGCTGTTTGGGTTTGGGTCCAACCATGGACAGCAAGAAAATTACCAGAAAAGGAAAGAAACAATTGTGACGACCCGACCAAACACGGACTGAGACACACAGTTGATTTCTGAGTTTTGCTCAAGGACTGAATGCCTTGCTGAGTTTCCCACTTGCAACTAAGTTCTGCATGTCTGTGTGTGTGCACGCTTGCCGGTCTGCATGTCTGTCTGCGTGCTGGTTGGCTTGAGTGTGTGTGTGACCCCCAAGGGTACTTGTCCGTTCGTTGGGCCCTCAGGGCCGATACTTACCTGTGGCCGTGACATTGAGGGATTGCAGCGGGGGAAAACACTCAAGTAGCAGGTAGGCCAGTACCGCACCCTGAAGAGGTAGATGTGCGGGTACTGGAGGCCGAGCAGAAGAAGACAAAAGTGGCATTTTGAGAGGCCCTGTAGTTGTAGGCTAGGTCTAGGCGGGTACCAGTCCAACCAGTCTGAGTCTAAGGCCTGTACGGGCAATATCAGAGTCTGCAATGATGTTTCCCTCCGAAAGGGAGGAGGTACCGGTTGCTGAAAAGGCCAAGCGGCCTGGAAGTCACCCCCCAAGAGGCAAGCAGGCCGCTATATCTCCAGGCCGGGCGAAGAGCCCAGCCTCATTGCCGGTGTGCAAGTTTGGCAACACACTGGTTGGAGCGCTAGCTGGAGCAGCGCTGCTGGGGAAGGAGCAAGGACACGGAGGAGGAAGAAGGACAGGAGGAAGGGGGAGCGCCAGAGGTACTTACGTGGCTATGGTGGCAGCCATCTTCATCACCTTGGTGTGCGCTGCAGCAGGGAGACCCCAGCTGGGGTAGAGCTACACCAAGAAGCTTCGAGGCAGAGTCAGGAATGGCGGCCTGATCTAGAGCAGCCATAGCTGCTTTGGGTTGTCCTTTGGGCATCAGGGCAAGGCCCGGTAGTCCTTCGTAGCCTCGGCCTATGAGAGTGAAGAGGGAGGGAGGCGGCCATGGCTATGGTGGACCTCAAGTGATACCTGCAGTAGAAGAGGAACTCGGACATTCATTCTGGATCAGCCATTCAACATTGTACTGTTATTTCTTGTGTGAATAAGAGAGGAGGAGTAAAGGAGGAGGAGGGTGTTGAGCGAAGAAGAAGAGCTTTGTCATTTGTCTATGCTGGTGTACATCATCTTCTTCTTCTTTCTCTCTTCTTCTTCTTCTTCTTCTTCTTCTTCTTCTTCTTCTTCTTCTGCTTCTGCTTCTTCTTACCCTCTCTCTCCTCTCAAGTTCATTCATTTCTGTCTGCAATTGGACGGCATTATACTATCTGATGAATGTGTATCTCCAAATTGGCCAGGATCATAACACAATCACAAAAACAAACAAACAAACAAAGAAGAACCACGCAAAACAAAGTAAATACTAATGTCAACCAAACAAACTGCTTTGGTAAGGGACCAAAGTGGCCTACAAAAACAAAAAAGAAGAAGGAAAAAAAAAGTGGCGTACAAGGTTAGATGAAGTCTGCACAATGTCTGACACCCTGGCAAAGTCTTTTTTTTGTTTTGTTTTGTTTTTTTGTTTTTTTTGTTTTTTTGTTTTTTTTGTTTTTTTTGGACCATTTCTCGATTTATGCGTGTCATCCTTGTGCAGGGGCCATGCTAATCTTCTCTGACACCCTGGCAAAGTCATAGCTTCCTCAGTTTTGAAATTTTGATGTGAATTACAAAAAAAAAGTGACCCAAGCCAGCACTAGTGCATCACAATCTACGATTTGGTCGAAGCAGCCTCTATGTCGACCTTAGAGATGTTGAAGCTTCGTCATTAGTGGCAAGAAGCTTTTGTGAAACCATTTTATGATCCGCTCTTTTTCTCAAGGTCGGGATCTGACGATGAAAACCGGCAGCCACGGGTTTCTTTTGCAGCCACCCTAGGTTTTGTCTTGACCACAACGTGGCGACCCCACTGCCCGCTTGTGTGCTGGCACGATCCGAGGGGGCCTTCAGAGGAAGTGTGGCTCGGAACACGACTGTCGAGGACGCCGCCCTAAATTGCTGCAGCATACGACATAAAGGGTTTTTTGCAACCACCACAACCGCCTCTGGGATGTGGGTCAATCCAGTCAGTGCCAACCCAGAGGGAGTTGGGGTGGTCGCAAAAAGCCTGACGGAGAGAACCTCCGCCAAAAGATCGTTGTCGTTGAGAGAGACTCACATAATGAAAAGTGAGGCTCTTGCCATTTATGCCTGAGGCTCAACAACTTCGAGGTTCGGCGAGAGAAAGGTTCAGCAAAATAGGTAAGGGACTGCGGCGGCCTCATTCTCCAGATTTTGCTGTGGGTTGTACGTGGCCCCACTGAAATCGCATGTAGGGAGAGAGAGGTGTAATGGCTCTAAGTGACGACATGTGGGTGGGGACGGAGCATGCATGTGCTCCACGTGTGCTTAGGCATGATAGGTTCATGGAGTGTTCCCTGTGCGGTTAGTGCATGAGGGCTACCGTCTTCCCCCGAACATAACGCACCCTAAACATGAATGTATACAAGCTATATTTCCGGCCAGATACAGCCAAAATAAGGGTGCGTTGTGTTAAGGGGAAGACGGTAGTCACACTCCACCAGTGTAGCTATTGCTCGATCCAAGGGACATTCAAGAGGAGAATTTCCACACATGCACTATATCCTAGCCAGGCTTGAGTGTATGGAGCTCATGCTGAAGCACAGCATGTGAAGAAAAGACAACTTTTATGAGAATACTTTAGAAGACGTGTGCAAAAAACTTTGGAAGAAGAGGGGAGCTGCACAAGTGTGCAATACTGCAGAATGTGTGCAAAAATCTATCTCATACCTTTCTCAGCCTTTTGGC